AAGCCTTCATGGCCCTCTGTTACATTAAAATCCAAGTTTAGACAATCCCAGGGGAAGACTGTGTTTACCCAAGCATCAAAATCAACTACAGTGGTGGGCACTTTTGACTTTAACTAGGCTTGGGCTACATCTAAAATATGGCGGCATTCATCAATATTAAACAGAGGTCAGCAGGAGTTTCCATGTTGTCAGGTGGGTGTGGAGGAGCAAAGCCAAGGTGGAAGAGTTTTTAGCTCTTAATGGCAAGTAGAAACACCAAAATGACACCCAGGATTTAGAGGTAGATTTATTTATGTTGATGGGCACTGTTTGGGATCATTCCTAGAATATCAAGTCCCAATCAGTGGTGGTCCAGGGTTTATATGGATAAGCAAGTAAGGAGTACAGACACAAAATGGCCTGTCAGTTGGGGATTGTTTTATGCAACACGCATCACAGTGACCAGCTATGCATCACAATGACCAGCCATTTCTAGGAGATAGAAGTAACCAGAACTGAAACAGTATTACCTGGGCAACTAAGAAACTGGGGTATACTGGCTTGGGAGGGGGGTTCCATTTCAAAAGGAGAAACTAAAAAAGGCTTGTGGTGTTAACAAGAGCTTGCTACAATAAGCTTGCTGCAAAACTTAACTGGAATTCCTCCCAAGTCTGTGCCACAAACCTTTGGGGGCAACCTTAAGGGATTTCTTTCTGATTGGTTAAGTTAGTTGACAGTCCTAGACACTTTCATGTTTACTTTTTAGAACTGAGAAACTGGATGACTCTCGTAATTGAAATAACAAACCCTTTCAATAGGTAGTTTCCAATTTTTTGCTTTCAATAAAATCAGAATAGGCCATTATAAATATTTTTTGATTATAGGTAACTATGAACATTTTGACAGATAATGAAGGAAATTTTAAAAATAAGCATTAGCAATCTCTGTTTCTTTCTGTAATATAAACAAGTTTCCTTAGCAATTAAATCAATAAAAATGAAAAACAAATAGAATTGTCCAAAACTACCTTATTATACTAGGAAAATGTATTAAAGTATTCACTCTACCCACCAAAAGAGGAACCAATTTGGAAAACATCTCTATCTGAAACAAAATTTCATCTCAAGAAGGTAACATATTGGACCCTCACAAGCTTCAACTTACTGTCTGAAAATATGCATGTTTTCCTGTCAAGGAAATACAAAACCCTCAGGATAAAATTACTTAAAGCTGAAATATAAATTCCTTTAGGAGACACATAGGAGCAAGGGTCTTGAGGGCCAAGAGCCAGGGAAGCACTGGTCTGCACTGGCGCATACAGGGACAAACTCCCAAAGATTGTCCTGTGCTTTCCTGCTCAGTACCTGCCATACTTGGCTTTTCCACTGTTTTCGGGGGCTGGGGAAGGGGAGAAAGTCAGACATGGCTTACAACTCATCCCACAGTATGTGAGTCCAAGTCTAGAGCAGAGACTGGCAGCTTTACTTTTGGACAACTCATCACAGACAAGTGGCTGTCTTGGCCAAGTCCTCTCCCAGGGGCATGGACAAGGTCCTGCCCACAATTAGCTCTAGACCTCTGAAAGCCTTCTTCAGGACTATGTCATAACAGCACTAGCAACCTGCCCAAAGGATTCAGCCAGTTCCCTTCTTTATTCTAAATGTTGATACTAAGGAATTTGGTGCCCAATTTGTTATGACTCAGCCAGGCTACATCAGAACTTGTTTCTGGAGGTCTCTTTGAACTCTGTGGTGGGCCTCTGGGTCTACTCTGACAGTGGACTGTATGTGCCTCTGTGGCTAGGTTATCTGGAAGTCATGGATAGTTGCTCTCCATTTGGAACAAGCAATGACTACCCCTAGAAGAACTGAGGAGACCACACAAAAATTTCTTGATCAAGCAAAGCCATGGCAAGTATTGGGCTGACAGCAGAAGAGAGCTCTGAGGGTGTGTACTGCACAACTTTAGGGTGTCCTGGACACCACTGCAGCAAGCAGCTATAACTGCTCCTTCCCACTCTCATTCCTGAAGCTTATATGCATGAGTGGGGACTGTGAGGCGAGCCCAGAGCCTTCCCACATGTTTTTGACCTTTAGGACAGTATAGCATCTTTCTGACACCAGCTGTTGTTCTCAGAACAACAGAAGCTCATGCAGTCAGTACTGGTCCTGCCCAGTGGTATCGCCAGGAGGGGACCAGGGAGGGGTGTTTTGGTCTTCTCACTTGGTAGGCATGTTTGAGGGTTCCAAAGTAGGAAGCAGATGGTGCAGATACTCTGGTGTGCTTGCAAGCTCCACAGGCAGATGGCTGATCAGCAAAGGCCTTAGCCTTTGCACACACAGCCTTTTATCTGTCCAGGCACAGATGTAACTTGGCAGTATAGGGGTATACCTTATGCAGAAGGTCTCATAGCTGGATGGGCTGCATCTTAAGAAAGCTCCCAGGGGCTGTTGTTACTGCAGGTGTGAGAACAAGGAGCCAGGGCAGTGGCACAGCAGAACCACTGGACGGCATACATGTATGCCTTGCATTGGACACAAGAAAGAACCTCTGTTAGCTACTAATGGGGTGAGGGTGGTAGCTGCCCAAGGCACAACCACTGCAGACTCTCCAGACTCATAGCAGTGCCACCCTCTGTATGGAACCATCAAATCTGTGGTTGCTCAGAGAGTTGAGGTACAGGCTGTACTACTCTGCTGTTCTGCAAGAATTGTGCAGCCTTATCACCTAGTATATTATCAAGTTGTATGATTTGCCAACTTGAGGTAAACACCTGTAGGGGAAGACTCACAGTGTTATCACATGGGGGGCAAGACACCCAGAAGGAGTAATATAAGTAATATTTACTCAAAGCAAAAGAATCAAAAGTACACTCCACAGGATAAAGAGCAGACCAGTGAGAAAATCTCATGACCCAACAGCCACAATGCACCACGTCTGTTAAGGCCCTAGGCGTAGAGCAGGGTCTACAGTTGTAGATAGATAGGATTCAGGGTCCAGAGGAGTGCCTGACTGGCCCCACCCATCAGGAGGGGAAGTTTTTGACCATACAAGGTCTTTAAACTGTCATAACACCTGAAGCCCCCAGGAAGAGGATCAGAACTGCAATGCAATGTCCCTGAATCAAGGCCATTAATTTTCTGAAGCTGTTGGTTTCAAGCAGGAGCCTAAAGTATCTTTCTGTTGTCTGTTGGCTATTTCAGAAATGTAATGGTTAATTCCTTAGAAAGAAACAACCTCACCATGTACTAAGCTAAAATCAGAATGGATCAAAGATCTTAATATTAAAACAGAAACATTAACTCTTGAAGACATTGGTATAGGCAAAGACCTTATGAACAAAACCCAGATTGCCCAGGAACTATCACAAAGAATCAACAAATGGGATATCACCCTAATAAAAAGCTTTTGCACAGCAAGAGAAACCACCAACAGAGTGAAGAGATGACCCATGATGTGGGAGAAAATGTTTGCCAGCTATTCCTCGACAAAGGATTACTTTCAAGAACATATAAAGAGCTCAAAACCATCAGTCCTTCCAGATTTAAAGACACAGTCCAAAATGGGCATCTGAGAGGAATACATACTTCTCAGATGAAGAAACACAAACAGAAAATAAACATGTGAAAAAATGTTTAACATCACTGGTCATTCAAGAGATGCAAATTTTAAAAACACTGAGTCTTCTTCACCCTGGAAAGAATGGCTATTATCAAGAAATCAAGCAATAGGGGCTGGGAGTTTAACTCAGCGGCATAAGTGGCTGCCTGGCAAGTGCAAGGTCATGAGATCGATCCCTGGTACAAAAAAAAAAAAAAAAGAAAGAAATCAAGCAATGACAAATGCTGGAGGGGATGTGGGGAAAAAGGAACCCTTCTCCACTGTTGGTGAGAATGCAGAGTGGTGCAACCACTGTGGAGATTCCTCAAAAAACTAGGACTGGAGGTCCCATTCAACCCACCTATTTTCCCTCTGGGCATCTTCCCAAAAGAATTAAAAACATCATACCACAGTGATATATGTACACCCATGTTTACAGCAGCACAGTTTATAATATCCAGATCTTGGAAACAACCTATATGTCCATCAACTGAGGAATGGAAAAAAAAAGGTATGGTATTTTATACAATGAAATACTAGTCAACCCTAAAGAATGATAAACTGGACACTTTTATAGGTAAATGGATGCACCTTGAGAACATACTCATTAGTAAATAAGACATGTGTAAATACTGTATTGTTTCATTAGTGTGACAAAATAAAAACCTTTTATATGTGTATGTATATGTACATGAAAATAGTTAAGACAGTTATACTACTAATTTCTCTGAGTTCACTGAAGAGAAAGATTTGTACTGGTATTGTTTGGACAGTTGAAGGTAGATGTCTTGTATTCTTGGTGAATGATTTGGGGATGACAATGTGCAATGTAGGTACCATTTTTACCCGATTGATGTAAAGTTTGTTGTAGTTTTTTTCTCCTTCTCCTCCTCTCCCTCCTCCTTTATCCTCCTGCTTCTTTGCTTTTATGTTTGAATAAAATGGATTAAAGAAAGAAAGAACCCCTCCTGCTCCTGTGAGCCTACCCGTGGGCCTGGAGAAGAAGCCATGCCCCCCAATTCCTGAGAGCCCAGCACATGGGCCAGAGAAGAGGCTGTGCCCCACCACCATAAGCCCACCATGGCAGGTTAAGAGTGAAGAAGCCATGCCTCCAAGATTCTGCTGCCATCGGGGGAACATCCATAAGCAGCCACCCAGCACCTCTTGGCAACCCTGGGAACCTCAGATCGGAGGAACTCAGGCGTCCATCCCAATTCCCTGCACCACAGGACAGGCAGCCAATGCAAGAAATACCTGGGACTCAGCAACCAGCTGATGCAAAAGAACACAGGAAAATGTCAACACAAAGGAGCAATCTCAGACTTCCAGCCCATCCAGAACAAGTCCAGAAGACATAGACACAGAATAAATTAGAAGTCACACACCTTACATCGCTGAAATGACGGCAACCAAGAGACAACTTAGCTTATATTGTTTAATTTTGCATGCCTATATCTTGTCCAGAGAAAGTTCAGCATAGGCATAGAGGACGTAAGAAGCCACACACCTGAAATTTCTGAGCTAATGGCAAATGAAGAAACAACTTAGCGCTTGTGCCATTGGTCGACTCTGCATACCCTATGTCTGGTAGTCTGAGCATCTATTTAGGGGATAACAGTGTGCACTGCAGTAACTATGGTTGATTTCCTACTGTCTTGGTTTTGAAGTCCAATATTGTTCCCATTGTTTTGGTTTGTTTTATGTTAGTCTCTAAAATGAAAAAAAAAAAATTTAAAACCCTGCAATGCAAGTGAAGTTGGATGCAACTCAGGCTCTTGTACCTTTGGTTTTGTGCATGGATGGGAAGGGATAGGGTGACTTCTATGTGTTGGCTTTCTGATCCTTTAACAGTGCTTGTTTGATGTCTGGTTTTTCAGTTCTTGTCCCTGTGATTTTCTGTTGCTTCCTGTCCTTGCTCTTCTCCCAATCTCAGCAGTGCACAACTGTATATTCTTAGAAAGTTCTTTCCTGATCATTTAAAGTGTCTGTGTGAGTGACTTTAGACTTGTCTAGAAATTGGATGAAGGGCCATGTCTCTGTCTGATAGGCCTCTGATCAGGCCTATATTCCCCAGACCTTAAATGGATTTTAGCTATGTAAATCAACTAGGAATTTAGTGTGCAGCTCATGTTTCACCCCATTACTCTGAGATTAATAAAACCAAACATGGGAGCTAGGCCATTCTGATAGCAATGGTAAACTTGCCAGTTTTGACTCAACTCCTAGATTTTCTTTCTCTAATCAGGGAATCTGTATTAGAAGCTACAGATTTAGGGACTTAAAAGAGAGGGACATGGTGGGGCATGCCTGGAATCCCAGGAACCTAAAATGCTGAGACAGGAGGGTCCCAAGTTCAAGCCCACCCTGGGCAACTCAGTTAGACTTGGTCTGAAAAAGGGGTGGAGGCAGGGATATAGTTCATTGCAAAGCCCCTGAATTTAATCCCCAGAATCAATCAATCAACCTTATCAGATTGTACATTTTTTAAAATGATGAGGGATGCTTGCATTAATAGAAATTTGTTCTCTTTACAGCTGTGGAGGTCAGAAGTCTGCTTCAGTCTCAACAGAGCCAAAACCAAGGTATTGCTAGAGCCATGCCCCTTCTGGGCTGGGGAGAACCCATTTCCTGGCTCTTCCAGCCTCTTGTGGTTGTAGGTGTCCCTGAGGGTATAACACAAGCCCCTATCCCGCACATTACACCTTTATCTGCACATTACACCATCCCACCTGTGTGGCTTATCTGGACAACCTAGGATAATCAACCTCAACTTAATCCACCTGCCAAGATTCTTTTCTGTAAGTTCTAGGAATTGACATGTAGACATCCTTTAGGGGCACTTTTCAGAACACAACAAATCCATTTTAATTGCAGTAAAGCATTTCTGAAGACATTGAGGTTTTCTCACTGGTGTTTTTTCAATGTTTTGGGAAGAGACTATTATTCAGTCCTAAGGGGTCCATAGTTAGGGGGCAAGAAAGTAGCACGTAATTCATTCTAGAGTCCTTCCCCCCCCCCTTAAGTCTGATGGGAATTTTTAGCATCTTGGCCTCTTGAGCCACCACTAAGGGTTGCTTTTAAGTAATTGCCCTGAGCTGCAGCCTCAGCCCTTTATATTTCTGAGGTAGGATCCATGAAGTTTCTCAATCCTCCAGGGTGAGCTCAAAATTGTGTCTCTTAAGCACAAATAGATATATGAAAAAATGTTCATCACTAGTCATTCGAGAGAGAGGGGCCAGGGATTTAGCTCAGTGGTATAAGCACCTGCTTGGAAAGCATGAGGTCATGAGTTTGATCCCTGGTACCAAAGAAACAAAAACTCAGATTCTACTTCATCCTAGAAAGGATGGCTATTATTAAGAAATCAAGCAATAATAAATGCTGGAGGGGCTGTGTGGGAAAAAGGAACTCTAGTGTTGGTGGGAGTCTGGACTGGTACAACTACTTTGGAAATCAGTGTGGCAATACCTCAAAAAACTAGGATTAGAGGTCCCATTCAACCACTTATTCCCCTTCTAGGTATCTTTCCGGAACAATTAAAAACATCATATCAGAGAGATATATGTGCTCCCATGTTTACAGCAGAATAATTTGTAATAGCTAGATCTTGGGAATAACCTAAATGCCCATCAACTGAGGAGGAATGGATTAAAAAGATGTGGTACTTTTATACAATGGACTACTATTCAGCCATAAAGGACAAACTAGAGACTTTCATAGGTAAATGAATGTGAAAATGTGTTTAAGTAAAATAAATCAGACACACGTGTAAACATCGTACTGTTTCACTAGTGTGAGCTGAAACTGTATATACATAGTAGTTAATACAGTTATACTGATTTCTCTGAGTTCATTGAAGAGAAAGGTTTGCACTTTGGACAACTGAATGCAGATGTCTTGTACTCTGGGAGGCATGGCAATGTGCAATGTTCATACCGTTGTTGTCTGGATTGTTTTGAAACTTTTCTTTGAAAAAATGTATTTCTCCTTAGCTTACCAGTGTTACTAGGCATCCGCACCACACCCTACTTTCTGCTCTTTTTGTAAGTACCCGTTAAGTCCTGTCAGAGCAGTGTCCACCTCATGACACCATTTAACCTATTGCAAGCACAGTGATAGTAACACTTCAACATGCCCATTTGGAGATAGAGGCACAATTTAAACTAAGCAAAACCTTACCCCAAACAGGATGATTTCTACCATCTGTCCAGGTGCCCTGTAACCACAAAGTGAGAAATAACCCTGTGCCATATTTGTCATTTCATGTTTGGTTCAACTAAGCATGGACCTAGTGGTCAAGCAACGGGCATGTATGACTACACACTAGGGGCTACTGCACAGAGGCAGACTGCTCTTTTACTTATTTTTGGTACCAGGGATAAAAACACAACCTCATGTCTGTCAGGCAGATGCTTATGCTGCTGAGCTAAATCCCTGACTCTTAGGCAGACTGTTCTTGACCAGTCATAGTGACTTGATGGATTTCTGGATAACACTAGGTCTGGAACACTAGGCATGGATGCCAAAGACAGCTTTTGGGTATGTGAGCTAGAACAGCCATTAACATTAGTAACAACCAGTGTGGGTCAGTGGGGCCTCTGTATCTCTGCTCCCACATTTGTAGATATGGCCAACTGAGATGAAAATCAAGCCGGTAGTTTGCACAGACTTTTAAAGTCATCATTCTCTAAGTACAAGTACTTAGATGGCATTTACAAAATATTAGTAACCCACAGGTGATTTAAAGTAACTAGGAAGGGCTGGGGACTTAGCTCAGTGGCTTAAGTGCATGCTTGGCAAGTGCAAAGTCATGAGTGTGATTCCTGGTACCAAAAAACAAAACAAAACAAAAAATAAAGCACCTGGGAAGATGTGTACAGGTACTGTACAAATACTTTTGTATATAACCAGCAATCACAGGCTGTGGGGTCCCCTTTGGATAATACTTGCCTGCATTTTACTAAGCTACTGGAGACAGACTAAAAACAATGACTGAATAAGGACATGAAAAGCATATGCTGTATGGCATGAGGACAGCAAGAGCCAGAGAAGCAGTGATTCTAAAAGCTCCACTGCTAACACTGAGGACAACTCTTCCCTGCGCCAGGCCAGACAACCTCACCTTGCAAAGGACCCTAATTCCAGCTCCAAATCCCTGCATCTTCTCCAGCCACCACAGGAGCCCAGGAGCACCCTAGCAGGAATCTTGTGACCAGACCCCACTGCTTTGTCTTTCTAGGATTCTACACTCACCTTGACTATTCCTGGGCTGTGCATGGATCCCCAAGTCACCATCAGTGACTCAGCAGGCCCCAAAGACATATGCGCAAGCCCACTACCACCACCAAGGATGCTGTCTGTATACATAGATAGGGACAAAGTCTAAGTTTGAAAGTGTCCCTTGCTAGACCTCTTAGAGGAAGTTATACCACAGTGCCTTGCTGTCACATGCCAAGTTCAGTCAGGCAGGAGTCTTTATGGGCTCTACTCAGGTATGCAGGCATCCAAACCACCCATTACTGTTCAAACACAGAGGCAGGTACAAGTGATGTGGTCATGTGAACATGAAGACACTGGGGTCACAGGTGAAGGCCAGAAGGTTCTCCTGAGGTCTCAGTGTGGCCTTTCCTAGACAGGTTAACAATATCGTTCACGTGTAGCAACCAGGAAGGGTCTGAAGAAGTGAGTGAGGAAAACTGGCTGAGGAAGTCACACTATATTCTCATTTGTAATATATTCTTAAGATGCCACAATCATGCAGAATGCAGACATAGCTCCAGGGTGGAAACTGGCCCCAGGAGTATGATGCTATCACCTGTAATGTTTCTCTGGGTAGACATGACCAAATGCAAACTTTAAAAACAAAATCTGTTGGTCAGGCCCTGTACTGTGTCCACACCTTCGCAGAACAGGCTTAAAGTGCTCATGGTCAGTAACACAGAAGCATCCATAGAAGGTTGTATTTTCCTAATTTAAGATGTTATAATCTCATTCAAAGTAAACTCTAAAATTCTAGCTTTATACTAAACAAAATTCTTGGTGAGAAACAACTTGCTTCTCTGAGGGCAGGTCATGGCAGGTTCACCCCAGGGCCACCTCCAGGATCTGCATGAGCAAGAATGCCCCAAGAGGGGCTGGGGATTTAGCTCAGCGGCATAAGCGCCTGCCTTGCAACAGACAGTCATGAGTTCGATCCCTGGTACCGATAAAAAGGAAAAAGACAAAAAAAAAAAGAATGCCCCAAGAGACATCACTGCAGAGGCCCTGAGACTGTCAGAAGTAATGTGAGCTGGGACCTCAGATAGTCAGGGTATAATTCTGGACCTTAACACAGCTAAGCAGACTCCTGTATGATTTAATAAGAAAATGTGTTTAGAAACAGTGGTTGTGAGTCTGCAGAAGCAATGCTCACTCAGGGTTGACAAAAGTAGATTACAAGGCCCTATTTCCTGGGCACTCCCTTCCAGATGCCAGGCTGTAAAACCCCTGCTGCTTCCTGTTCAGGCTCTCTGCTGTCTTCAGAGGGATGCCCTTCTCCTGGCTCCCCGTCTTCCCTCTGTCTTGGGTGAATCCTCTTCCCCCATCTCAGTTCATCGTCATTCCTTCTAGGAAACCTGTCAAACTCAGAGTGACCACTGTGCTTTCTGCCATCATCTGAGTAGCATTCTGGCATTTCAAGTCCTTGGATTCTTCTCTCCAAGTCTTTCTGCTCTTTGTCATTGTCATCCTGTGACCTGTAAGTCAATATAAATGGTAAGTGATCACATGGAAAGTAAACACAGCCCTCCTTCTATAGCTGAAGTGAATGAGACTAACAAGGGTTGGGGATTTTCCTGGGTGTCCAGACTCAAACTCATCATAACACAGCTTTGACAACTTAAATTCTTAATTTCCTGATAAATCAACTGAGATGTTATGATGCCAGGTGAATTTCTGCATATATCACAGCATTAAGGAACAGGAAATAAGTAGATGGCTGCTTAGTTTGTTTAGTTCCAGAAGCTTTGCCTCCATGAATCATGGGTAAAGTTCTTAAACATCATCTGTGGCTCAGCCACATAGGTGTGGTAGGAGTGGTGAGGAGAGGGAAGATCGCCAAGTCCAGCAGAACTTCATGCCACCAAGACAGCAACAGGCACTGCTACATCAAACAATAGCACTAAAACACCACAGCATATGCTACACTGCTAAAAGATGAAGTAGTTTATAATCATGTACAAATTATAATTGCAAACTAATAAACTGAAACCCCCAAAATAAGGGAAAAATTTTATGTTTCTGAGATATTTATACCATTCTCTGCCAGCTTTAGCAGTGCAGCCCTGAGGGCTAGGGATTCTTGTGTCAAAATGCAGTATGGGGCAGAAGCCTGGTCAGCAGCAAGACCAACTGCATGTGTTAGTGATGGGGGTCGGGGTGGGGGGCTGATGGGAACCCTGCAGGGACACTGTATCAGCTCCATCACAGATGCAGAGCCTCTGCAAGTCATGTCAGGCAAAGGGAAAGAATGAGGCAAGACTAGCAGAAGGTATGGCTAAGCCACAGCACTAAACTTTTGTTTTTCTACCAGAAAAATCCAGCCAGCTCAATTATGTGGATAAACTGCATGAAGGGTAGCAGATTCAAAGGGCATGAAACTCAATACACACAGGAAAATGACAAACTGGTACAGGTCATGATGAAGCGAGAAGGTGCAGGAAGGGGGCCTGAGAGAGGGCTCAAGGAGGAGGAGGACAGGATGGAAAGGACAGGAAACGAGACTGCAAGCTCAACACTGACTAAGCTCTTCTGATGGGAAGCAAAATAAACACGTGCTGGCACATCCTGACGCAACCTTCAGGTCCCAGAACAGTGTGAGACATATACACTTCTACACTTAAGACAAGTGGAAGGAGGTACACTCACTTCTCCTTACATGCCCCCACTGGTTTCTCTGAGGGCCTGGCTCTCACAAAAGTACAGAGGGCACAAGTTTCCTGTTTTCCACCTTCAATGCTGACTTCTTCACCTTTTTCTTTTTGCTTTTCTGTGTCTGGTTCTTCTTCGTGTTCTGGTTTCTTAAGAAGCTGGGAAATTATAACATTAGTAAAATATTATGAAGAACATATTATAAAAATTGTTAAATTAAAACATGTACCAAATGTTTGAATAGTAAAGCAATTAAACCAGAAGTTCTCCCCAAAACTGATTTTTAGTTTGACACATGGTGGAAAATTTAATGAAATATTCTGTAGTTAAGAAAACATATGTATAATAATGTAATGAAAAGATGCTCTTATCAGTAAAAAAAAATCCCCAAAAAACAAAAGCCAGATACAGTGGTCCATGCCTGTAAACCCCAGCAATTTAGGAGGCAGAGCCAGGACAATGCAACCTACAAGCTGGCCCTTGGCAACTTGGCAAGATCCTGTCTCAAATTAAAAAAAAAGTTGAGGATGTAACTCAGTGCTAAGAGTGCTTGTCTAACAGGTACAAGGACTGGGGTTCAATTCCTTTGGCCAAAAAAAAAGAATCTCAATGTCATAGGTGGTGTGACTGCACACAAAGAGCTATCTGAAGCACTGATATGTATGTAATGTATGTATGGTGATATATGTATGAAATGTTTGTATATGTGTATATATGATAGAGCTATCTGCAGTACTGCTGACAGAGATTATATATATGGAGTTGAGAAGACTTTCTTTCCATTTATTTGTGGGAAGTGATGGTAAACCTTTTAGTTTTCAGTGGTAGCAAATGGCCCACTGTGGCAGGGTGTCGTAGGTTTGCTACCATTAAGCTATGAGTTCTTGTTTTTCCAAAATAAAAGTATCAGTTTTGTAAAATGCGAGAACAAAAATTTTAAAGTTTATGTTGATGATCTTTACAATGGCGTATAGTTTTCAAAACATTTTTCTGTTGCTTGAGACAGAATTAGCAAGCTACTCTGACACATCTGGGTTTCTATGGATCTCTGTATAGCTAAGTCTGCCAGAATTCATTTGTACAAAAGTGGAAAGTATACTTGAGAATTCTGCCCAGCCTTATGCAAGGGAACATATGAGGATGAGACACAGACACTTCATGGAGTGAGCTCACTCTCAAAGAAAGATGCTGGTTCTCATCGTGTATACACTATGCCAGCTGTGTACAACCTGTTACTTCACATGCCCAGAACCATGACCTGAACACTTGCTCTCAGTAACTGCATATCTGTAATGAAAGCAAGCTCCAATCGGTGCAGCAGGCTCCACTGGACCCACAAGACGATTCCGTGTGCCTGTTTTCACTTCTAATATCCAGACACCAGGTACCCAGAGTCTGTGTGTTAGACTCCACTTGTGAAGCCCCTAGCCTGAGACTGCCTTATTCCAGTGCTTCTGTGGAAGTCCTTGGTCCCTCTGGTCTGACAGTTCTCCATGGCCTGCAGAATTCAGGGATGTACTTCACTGTCTCTTACTGTTTTATTGGAAAGGGTAAGACTCAGTAATAACCAAATAGAGAAGTTATTCAGTGAAGTTTGGGGCGTAAGGAAGCAAGTCCCTATACTAACCCACTTGGCATCTTCATGTGTTAACCAACCTAGAAGCCCCATCTCTGGAGGTCTCACCACATGAGCATGTTCAGCTACTGGTCCTTGGCATTTGACTGTCTCCAGCCCTCCAGCCTGAAACGAGGGAGAAGGTCCCACCCTTTTTTTTCTGGCACCTAGTCTCCATCTCGATGCGGTCAAGGATCGCCAGCCCTGTCACTGCATACGAGACACTCATCACTATGCAGATTCTAAGGGTTTCAGCTGTGTGCCAGGAACCCAGGACTAAGACCTGTGTTGGTCACTAAGAATACAACTGAGTGAGGCAGATACCTCCTCCATGGAGGTAACACACTGGACATTCTGGCTAAGATGACAGTGGCAAACTCCAGCAACATTGAATGCTATGAATATATAACGAACAGAATAAAGAAGGAAAGATGTAAACATGACTGAAGGATTTTCAGGAAGATGGTGGAGCAGTAAGCAGCAGAGAACATGGCCTCCCTGGGAGTCACTGTCCAGACACTGTCCAGAATATAACACCCTGAGGAACACAAGAAGGAAGGGAGTGGATCCAGGAAGAATCTGAAGTGCGAACTGAAGCCCACAGAGAGTAAAAAGAAAAACTTTAAGGAAGAAGGCAGCAGTAGCTGGCAGCACATTCACCCTGAGAAAGCACAAGAGGAGCTGTTTGAACCCGGGGATGCACAATCATGGTAACAGTGACAGCTGGCAACCTTGGAGGCCTCTGCAGAGACACGCAGCAGTGGAGGGGATCAGCAGACATGGAAGGACTGCACTGGCTGGCAGTGAGTGAAGAGAAGAGAGCAATCAGCTGGGAACCATTTTAGAGATGGGCTGGATAAGCCCTGAACCCAAACTGCTGTTGGCTTCCCCTAGCAGCTCCTGGCTGGGCACAGACCCATGGAAATTGTTTGGACTGCAGCAAGCCCAAAGAGTCTGGTCCCAAGGTAGGCCTGCTGAGATTATCCACTACTCTACCATAAAGCAACCGCTGGCTTGCTGAGATAGAGTGGCATGACTAGGGACCCTGTCTCCACAGGCTGTCTATTAGTGAAACCAGAGAATCCTGGAAGTGGACTATTTTTTTTTCTTTTTTATTTTGTTTTGTTTTCTTTTCTTTTTCTCCTTCATTATTTATATATGAGTATGAAAGTAGTTCCTAGCCTCTTTGTGCATTGATTCTGTTCTGTTCTTTTATCTTTTCCATCTTTCTTTCCCTTCAGTCTTTTGCACCAGTTTCCCAAAGTTAGTATGATCCCCCCTTGTCCTCCAACCTTACTTTTAACTCTTTCTCCTCTTTCATTTCTCTAAAATCCATTTTAAATTTTAACCCTGAGGGCAAAACTGGCACATTACAGACTTATATATTGCATATGATTATCTATTTTTACATTTTATTATATGATCACAAATCTAGTTCACACTGTTAAAAGATGCAAAATAATAGTTAGCTTGTTTGTTGTTTTCTAGGCTTGTCTGATGCTATTGGTACCACTATAGCCAAAATCAACATAACTGTTCTAAACACTGTTGGTCTTGATAACCAATGACTAAAATTAACTAAGGGTCACAGCAATTATGGTGCCACAGTGCCAAAAAACCAGAGACACTAGGTCAAACAAGTAACATATTCAAATCTCCAACAAACTGAAGAGGTAAGATCTTCCAACAGACTCAAAACCCAAAAACTAGCTATACCTAGGATATACCTCAGAGAAGTAATTATCACCTAAGTGTCCTAAATACTACCAACAAAGCAATCCACCATAGGTAACTTACAAGCATCACCCCAGATATTAAACTAAAAAAAGAGAAACTAAAATTAGAAGACACTTAAGCAAAATACAACTTCAGATATCTAGTTCATCAAAGGCAAATCTCGGGGCAATAAGGTGGGACAATCTGAAAGCCCCACCACTAGGTCTCTCTGAAGTAGAAACAAGAAGGCAATTGAATGAAGCTCTGTGAAAAATGAAATAAGAAAAAATCTCTCAGATAACTATAGAGATTACCAAAATATACAACATGCTTAGTAACATTAGAGCAGATACAAACAAAAAATAGATGAGCTTAAGCAAATTATGGAAGCTTACGGTAGGAAAGAAACAGAATCCAAAAAGCAGATTCAAGCAGATATCTAGGAGAATAAAAACTCCACTGAAAGTATCTGAAACAGATTAGACCAATGTGAGGACAGGCTCTCAGATATGGAAGACAGGTTTGCAGTTAGCAACCAGAAAAAGAAAGGTTTTTCAAAAATAGCAAAACACCATGAGAAATCAATCCAGCAGCTGCTAGAGACAAAGAGACAAAGAATAATTTAAGATTAACTGGAATCAAACAAGCAGGAGATACCACAAATGACATTTAAAAATATTCACAGGCAGCATAACAGAAAATTTTCCTGGTACAGAAAAAGAAATTGACATGTAGATAAACAGGGGTTACAGACAAAGCCATGATCAAACAAAATCTACAGCCAGGCATGTCTCAGTGAAGATTCCAGAAATTCAACACAAGAATAGAATCCTAGGGGCTGGAGATTTAGCTCAGCGGCATAAGCACCTGCCTTGCAAGCAGGCAGTCGTGAGTTCGATCCCTGGTACCGATAAAAAGGAAAAAGACAAAAAAAAAAAAAAAAAGAATAGAATCCTAAAAGCTATTAGAGAAAAGAAACATCACCTGTAAAGGAAAGCCCATCAGAACGACAGCTGACTTCTCAGCACAAACTATCAAGTCAAGTACAGCATGGAATAAAGTATTCCCAGTTCTAAAGGAAAATAACTTTCAACTCACATTGATGTACTCCACAAAACTATCTTTCAAAACTGATGGAGAGGGGCAGGGATTTAGCTCAGCGGTGTAAGTACCTGCCTGTCAAGAACAAGGTTGTGAGTTCAATCCGTAGTTAAAACACACACACACACACACACACATACACACACACAAAATTGATGGGAGAAATAAGATACTTCCATGACAAAAAAAAATCTGAGGAAATTTATGACCACCAAACCAGTATCCAAAATGCTCTCAAAGACATTATAGAAAGAGATAATAAGGAGAACAGCTACAAGAACCCCAACAGAAAGAATCCACCAGGGAAAGGAAACAATTAAAGGGAGAGGAAAATACGTGAGAACCAACAACTGGAAAATAACATGACAAAGATAAGTCAAATTGTATCAGTTATAACCATCAATTCACCAATCAAAAGACACAGATTGGCAGAATGGATCAAGAAGCAAGATCCCAACAATATGCTACATAAAAACAACACATTTAATTGAAAAAGAAATTCATAGATTGAAAGTCAAAGAATGGAAAATATTACTCCATGTGACAGGAATCCAGAAAAAAGGAGGGGTAGCTATTCTGTTTACAGACAAATTGAATTTCAAGCCAAGACTGATTAAGAGAGATAAAAAAAGGTGACTACATCCTCATAAAGGGAACAATCCAAGAGGAAGAGATAACAATCATAAATATATATGCAACAAATACGAGTGCACCCAACTATGTACA